GAGAAAAATTGCCACCCATTTTAATCACTCTTTGGTGGCCCAAGCTGAGCTAACAAAGATTCAAAAGGAACGCCTGAATCACTCTGCTTTATCTGTCTATATATTTTGAACTCGAAACATATTTGATGAATATCATTGAAGTAAATAATTAAAGTTTTTTGCAGGTAGATAGATATACAAATATAGCAAATAGAGTACTGATCGACCAACTTGAAGAACTCCTGGAATTCCTTGCCCAGCATTCCCGCCGTAGCCAAAAGGGTAGGACTGGGTGCAAGATCTAAAGAAACTGTTCATAAACAGTGGATAGTAAGTTGAAATCTCTTTCATACCGCTATCACGGTCGTTTCAGTCCATACATTTGATATTTGTATGGAGCTTGCTCATTCCGTTTAGTTCCATTCGTTAAAAACAGATGGCGTTGTTTTAAATGCAAACCCATTTTAACTATGGTACCATTAAATTAAAAACAAAATTATTATTTTAAGTTAAGATAATATTATATAAAAGTATTTAAATTTTATGTATGGTCCTTATTTTGGAGAAAATTGTATTTTATTAAACAAAATGCTGGAAGTAATTTTAAATAGTGTAACGGAACGTTACCGACATAACTGCGGCCGGTTAATAATCAACTTTGTTTTGTTTCTCTTCTCTTGTTGCTGTTAGCTATATTCGGTTTGTGTACAAGTGATTTTGGTGGTTTTTTTCGTCCTTCAATAAAATAAATAATTTTTTGTGCAATGAATACACCACAACACGTGGTAATTTCCTTTGTTTTATTTTTTCATAAGTTACGGAAATACATCAATAATGTTTGTATTTGCAGGTAAAGACTGCACCGCAACTTTTCATTCTTTTTCTCATCCTGAAAAGGATAATAATAGATTTAAAACATGGATTCAAGCCATTGGAGGAAATTTACAGTCAACTCAATTATGTTGCCGGTTACTTATTGAAACGAGCAAAAGCAAAAGTTTTTAAAAATTGCAGCAATTGTAAAGAAATTTTATTTCATGGGGATGGGAACGAATATATAAAATTAAAGGAATTTTCGTCATGTAGGGCACTTGCTTATCCTTCCGAAGACATCGTGCGGATGTTTTCCGCGATACAAGATATGGCTATCTATATTTTAGAAAATAAGAGCGACATGCCACAAATAAAAATTAATATGAAAACTATTATGTCTATTGTCATCGATTTAAAATTTTTGACTTGCCCACACCACAGTAAAGACTTGATAGAGTTTTTCTTTGAAGTTTCTTTCAGATTTTTTATTTTCAACTGATGCCGTGTCGTAAATTTTTTTAAAAAGATTTTTTTATTGTCAACTGGTGGCTTGACGTAAATAATTTACTCAACAGACTCGAAATCATTGATAACAAAGACATTATATAAAAATGCTTGGCACGTCTAGTGTGCATCCTTTACAGCAGGGTCGGCAACCAGTGGCCCGCTGGCCGCACGCAGCCTGTATGCTATTTTCCCAATACCATTTTTCCTATATTGCAATGCTTGTGTAATTTCACCTTGATATGATGTCAGATTTCCGAACACGAGACTACAACGGGAATCCCGCTCCTTTCACCCTCACAAAAATACATAACCATAGTTATAAAAGTGCGAGATATCGTTGTACCGTTCTAAAAAGGGTTTTTTAACTGAGGAACGAGATGGTTATGGAAATTAAAGAAAAGCTAGTTGAAGAGCTCCATTTCAGAATTTTGACATTTTCTGACTGGCGAACTAAATTAGCTCAACAAACACATGCAGGGAAAAAACAAGTTATTATGTGAAATGTATTCAGATGTAAAGTAATTTGTGATATAATTGAAGTGTAGGGACCACTAAATATTGATGACGAGCGAGTGCAACCGGGGCGCAAGCGAAGCGCGCGAACTTCGATGGTGCGCTGTATAGCTGCGCGTTGTAGTGTACGTGCACACGATCCGCGCGACGACCAGCGGCGCGGACGCAGGGAACATCAGTCGGCTGCACTACACCTCGGCGAATGCACGCTCGATTTCCAATCAGTACGGCCCGCTATACGCTCGCGCAATTGCTTTAATATTTTCCTTTGTCTGTTTTAAGTATTCTTTTCTGTCGCCTTCGCTTTATCTAACTTCTGTGCTGTATCTTCCTCCATTTTGTTCGTTTGTTAACGTGTGTCTATATTTATGGAAAATATAGTTTATGAGTGTCCAGTACATCGTGTTTAAATTAATAACCCGGTAGGGCACCCAATTTATTCTACGCCGAAGCTAAAGAGAATATTTTGAAAATGAACGCAAATGAAGAAAAGAAACTCTACACAAAAGAAGAGATCAAGAAGATAGCCCCAGGCTATAGAGGAAAGCCAGACCGTTCACCATATTCACAGATCATAAGCCACTGACATTCGCTTTTTCGTCAAGACGCGAAAACTGCCCACCACGCCAGTTCCGTTACCTGAATTACATCTCCCAATTTCCAACGGACATCAGATATGTAACCGGCCAGGAAAACGTGGTAGCACACGCCCTCTCCAGAGTAGAGGAAATATCAGAACCTTTTGATTACAAGGACCTTGCATTTTCTCAGGAAAAGGATCCTGAACTGCAAACCCTTTTAAGTGGTGGTTGTTCACTACAACTCACAAGAATGAAGTATGGAGATTACTATCTTTATTGTGACTTATCCACACCTAAACCAAGGCCATTCATAACCGACTCTTTCCGCAAGAGGATATTTAATATCTGCCACCGTACACGGGTCCATACAAAGTATTAGAACGAGGCGAAAAAGTATTCAAAATACTAATACAAGGTAAAGAATCAGTTGTTGGTGTCGACAGGTTAAAGCCAGGATACTTGACCCAAGAAGACAGCAGCAATTCCACCGAGGCCCAACAGCCTATAAAAAAAACTAGAAGTGGTAGAACAGTCAAATTTACCGACCACTATCGACCTAGACAAGCAACGGTCTCGGTGGGGGAGTAGTGTAGGGACCACTAAATATTGATGACGAGCGAGTGGAACCGGGGCGCAAGCGAAGCGCGCGAACTTCGATGGTGCGCTGTATAGCTGCGCGTTGGAGTGTACGTGCACACGATCCGCGCGACGACCAGCGGCGAGGACGCAGGGAACATCATTCGGCTGCTCTACACCTCGGCGAATGCACGCTCGATTTCCAATCAGTACGGCCCGCTATACGCTCGCGCAATTGCTTTAATATTTTCCTTTGTCTGTTTTTAAGTATTCTTTTCTGTCGCCTTCGCTTTATCTAACTTCTGTGCTGTATCTTCCTCCATTTTGTTCGTTTGTTAACGTGTGTCTATATTTATGGAAAATATAGTTTATGAGTGTCCGGTACACCGTGTTTAAATTAATAACCCGGTAGGGCACCCATAGAAGCATATTGACGAAGCAAGCATATTGATGGAAAGCTTGACCATGTTTCCAACTGTAAGAATGTCGTTGAAGAAGCTATGGAAGAAGAAAAAACCTTGAGACTGCAAAGATAAGTTATATAAAATTAGACCGATGGTTCATGTGCTCAATAAAAAGTTTCAAGTGGTGTACATGGTACTCGCGAACTGAGTGTAGATGAGTCAATGGTTAAATTTAAAGGTAGGTCTGTCTTGAAACATTGTCTGTCTTGAAATTTATGTTCATACAACACATCTGTAAAACATGTGCAAAACATGTGCTGGAAACCTGTCAAAAGGAGCATCAGCGGTGCAAAAAAAGTTGTCTAAAGGTACTCTGGTCATAATTGTTCACGCTGGTGTGGATGTGAAGGATTTGTTCCAAATGCTAGTTTGATGTATAAAGCAAACTCCACAAAAGGAGATTACAATTACTGCACAATCTCCTGAAAAAGGCTGTCATCGTTGTGGATAAAGCTCCTTACCACAACGCTTTATTTGAAAAAGCTCCTAACTCCAACACAAATAAGCAAGCCATGCAAACGTGGCTTGCAGAAAAAATATTCAGTTTGACGAATCAATGAAAAAAATTGAACTGTACGATCTTATTTTAAAAAATAATGACAGATTCAAGAGGTTCGTTATTGACGAACTGATTCAATCAAAAGGGTTAGAAATTCTACGATTACCACCTTACCACCCGGAACTAAATCCAATTGAATATATACGGGGAATGTTCGAAACCAATCTGTGGTTTGCTTTACGACGGCAACACCGGTCACGTGACCCACTTTCGCGTCAGTTGTCAATTAACCTCTATGCTTTTGAAGTGACGGACCTTAACGCTCCGACGTGTTACGGTAACGGAAAATATTACGGAAACGGAGTTTTAATGTTACATTCGGAAATCGGCAGCGTACAATTTTGTTCGACTAGTAAGATTTTACACATTTTCTTTTAGTAAGTTATAGTTATAATATTGTCATACCTTAATAACATATCATCAAGTCATACACAATTACAACACTTTTTTTAAACATTAAATTATTTCTAATAAAATGACTGCCGACTAAATGGCGGGAGCTGTTTTGGGAATTTACAGATTGATTAGGACCACTGCTCCAGACTATAAGGCATCCCTTGTTTCACGGATTAATGCACAGTTGCTTGCACTTTGCAAGGACGCGGGCGGGATCAGTGACATGGTTGATATCTATTTAGGATGGCAAAATGATAGAACCTTTAATGCATTGGTAGCTGCATATGATATGTTTTTTAATAGATTCCCCAAACGTCCACTTGCCAACTTGAGAATCAGCACAACCGGGACAAGACACAGAGACTGTGCAGCCTTGATGTCTTATGGATACATTACGTCATTGTTGGGGATGTCGAAATTGACAGATTTAATGGATTGGGTGTTCATTGAACAAATAGGTTCAGACATTGATCGAATGATGACAACAGAAGACGAACTCCTGGATGATTTTTCATATTTCCCTTATCATGTAGATTTAGGACTGGTTATGAAATCAGCATACTCAGCTTCAGCAAACCCTCATTTTTTGAATGGGTTCATCTGATTGGAGCCATGAGATCACAACGATCCTGCAATGCTAGGCATTTAACGGATGCAAGAGCCGGAGACATATTTGCTAACAGCGCCTGCCTAGCATATGTGTATGCAAATGTTATATCATTTGGCAAAGTATACACTGCAGACGGAGAACCACTAGAGGAGATGCAGGATGAGGAGACGATCAATCAGGATGAGTTAGAAGATGCATTGCGCTCAAAAGATCCAGTGGACTGGATATTCATGATCAAGTCATCAAAAGGTGAGCTCCCTAAGAAAGTCAAAGCTTTTATATCAAGCGTCGTCAAAAATATTCATGACCCTAGAGAAGGTACAATAGATCATTATCTTAAGACAGTTGCCCCCATTTACACATCTCGCTGAACAAGAAAAATCTCAATCATCTTAAAATAACATAATGTATGAAAAAAAATAAAAATAAAAAAAATTGTAACGTTTTTTTTATAGGATGGTGTCTAGATAATGATGGGAAGATTTAATAAAAGATTTATTTGCAGTTAAGATGTATTTATCTCTCCAATTTAAACTTACAATCCCTGGACTAGCTCGGATACAATATATTTAAAATATAGTAATAATAATGAGTTGGGCGCCTTGTCTGTTAGGAACAGACTGTAGAAATAATCCCAATTAAGTATCTCAGGGGGTCGTGAGTACATAGGACCTACACATTACTTTGTGCGACCATAAAAGGTTAAATAATTAAATTAATTTGAGATTATGAAAGTTTGCATAACTTAAAATAAACAAAACTTTACATTGGCGCCCAACGTGGGGCTCGAACCCACGACCCTGAGATTAAGAGTCTCATGCTCTACCGACTGAGCTAGCCGGTCTAACTTCATTTGGTCAATAAAATAACTCAAATAAATTGTATTTAAAACAAGAGTTTTATAGCAACAGACCAAAAAAACTTGTCTCTCCAGTATAGCTACAAATTGTTACCTAATCAGGCTTACAAACAAATTCAACGACGGACAATTCCGCCAACAGCAGTCAAATTATCTGCCAAGAGCAGCCAATTCTGCCAACAGCAGCCTTCAACAACGGACAATTCCGCCAACAGCAGTCAAATTATCTGCCAACGGCAGCCAATTCTGCCAACAGCAGCCAATTCTACCAACAAGAGTTAATTCTGCAAACAGCAGCCAATTCTACCAACAGCAGTCAATTCTGCCAACAGCAACCAATACTGCTAACAGCAGCCCATTCTCCCACAAAACCAACCTATCAGCAACAGAATCAAAAAAAAATTAAAACACCTACTAACACAACTTAGCTGTAATTACCTACCCCATTATTACAGCCAGACAACCAGACTATAAGCTTCATTGAAGTCACTATTAAAATTTCCTATTTACATATCTACACTCCCATTAAATTAAATTTAACAATATTTAGCCTTCTGTAAAAATACTTAATTTTTTAATTTTAAGTCTTTAATATGCCAAATCCCAGCATCTTGATGCCTTCTCCTTAAATTGTAGTATTTAACATTCTTATCATAAGACATTTCTCCTAACACCAGGTAATTCCTTTATTTTTATAATTCAATTTTTCAAGTTATTAAGATCTTTAAATCCTATATTAATTATGGTCGCAGTCAGTTTACACATTTTCTTTTAGTAAGTTATAGTTATAATATTGTCATACCTTAATAACATATCATCAAGTCATACACAATTACAACACTTTTTTTAAACATTAAATTATTTCTAATAAAATGACTGCCGACTAAATGGCGGGAGCTGTTTTGGGAATTTACAGATTGATTAGGACCACTGCTCCAGACTATAAGGCATCCCTTGTTTCACGGATTAATGCACAGTTGCTTGCACTTTGCAAGGACGCGGGCGGGATCAGTGACATGGTTGATATCTATTTAGGATGGCAAAATGATAGAACCTTTAATGCATTGGTAGCTGCATATGATATGTTTTTTAATAGATTCCCCAAACGTCCACTTGCCAACTTGAGAATCAGCACAACCGGGACAAGACACAGAGACTGTGCAGCCTTGATGTCTTATGGATACATTACGTCATTGTTGGGGATGTCGAAATTGACAGATTTAATGGATTTGGTGTTCATTGAACAAATAGGTTCAGACATTGATCGAATGATGACAACAGAAGACGAACTCCTGGATGATTTTTCATATTTCCCTTATCATGTAGATTTAGGACTGGTTATGAAATCAGCATACTCAGCTTCAGCAAACCCTCATTTTTTTGAATGGGTTCATCTGATTGGAGCCATGATGAGATCACAACGATCCTGCAATGCTAGGCATTTAACGGATGCAAGAGCCGGAGACATATTTGCTAACAGCGCCTGCCTAGCATATGTGTATGCAAATGTTATATCATTTGGCAAAGTATACACTGCAGACGGAGAACCACTAGAGGAGATGCAGGATGAGGAGACGATCAATCAGGATGAGTTAGAAGATGCATTGCGCTCAAAAGATCCAGTGGACTGGATATTCATGATCAAGTCATCAAAAGGTGAGCTCCCTAAGAAAGTCAAAGCTTTTATATCAAGCGTCGTCAAAAATATTCATGACCCTAGAGAAGGTACAATAGATCATTATCTTAAGACAGTTGCCCCCATTTACACATCTCGCTGAACAAGAAAAATCTCAATCATCTTAAAATAACATAATGTATGAAAAAAAATAAAAATAAAAAAAAAAATTTAACGTTTTTTTTATAGGATGGTGTCTAGATAATGATGGGAAGATTTAATAAAAGATTTATTTGCAGTTAAAATGTATTTATCTCTCCAATTTAAACTTACAATCCCTGGACTAGCTCGGATACAATATATTTAAAATATAGTAATAATAATGAGTTGGGCGCCTTGTCTGTTAGGAACAGACTGTAGAAATAATCCCAATTAAGTATCTCAGGGGGTCGTGAGTACATAGGACCTACACATTACTTTGTGCGACCATAAAAGGTTAAATAATTAAATTAATTTGAGATTATGAAAGTTATGCAATTCAATTCAAAAACAAAGTCCAATCAGGTAGTTATTTTAAATCTTTGTCACCGCAGAGACATCTGTCCTGTGTGCACAGGTCAGCGTTGAGCTCAGAACCAGTAGAGAAAGTCAGGCCAAGTGTAGTGTGTACACCCACACTGTTGGGGGTATATAGGAGACCTCCTGCCAACAAACACTAAATTATAGAACTAACAAAGGCAGGGATTTGAATCCACCTACAATTATAAGATGTGAAAAACTTACCAACTGGAGGTAAAAAACAATATTTAATAGAGCAGCAGCTCAGACCAGCTTGCCAGCCACCTATGCCTTCAGCATCCACCTGTGATATTCGAAAAACCATACTTAGAAACACGAGACAATAAATTCTCAACCTACCTTCATGTGATATTTCTAAATACATTCACAATGCAAGTATTTTACAATTTTAGTAGGAAACCAGTGAAAATAACAAAAGGATCTTACCACGAGGGATAACAAATCCAGCACAGAGTTTCCCAGACAGCAATCACAAATAATACGACCAGGAACGTGTTCTGATTCAACCTCTAACCATACACTGTAAAAAAGCGAATTGATAAGAAAACGAAATACGTAAACAAAACAACCACTGGCATGACCGAAACCAAGCAATTACTTACCAGTCGAAGATAATAGATCCACAAAAACTAATTTATCCAATGTCAATTCGAACCGGCGGCAATCTCAAATGACAAAGTACCAACAAATGAACTTAACTTTTTGATTTGACCTTTCGAAAAGGCAAAGGTTCATATGACATGCAGCCTAGTCTTTAGAAAAACAACAATTTCGACAAAGTGATGAAATCACACGTTACACAATTCCAAATATTTTGGCTGGCGCCAAACTTAGGGGCCCAGCAATCAAAAACTCGCCGCATTTATCTAAAACTCGATCGAAGATCTATTAATATCCGGCCAAGTTTAGCGGAGTTTTTCAAAACTTTAATGTTAGGAGCCAACGAAATTAATAAGTCAAAAGAAGAAGGAATCAAGGAATAAGAAAAGGACATGCTGAAAACTGCGGTCATCGTGCATATTATGTAAGTACCGAGTAGCATCCTGTAAAATCCTGTAAAAATTCCTTTCCACCTAAAACCCCCGACTTTTGTATAAAGAGCTAAGTTGCAAGGTGATGTAAGTCACCCTCCTTCTGTTATTAAGGGTAATTCACGTTCGATAAATAATTTATTTACGTAAATAAATTGTGCGAAACTATGGTTAAAGATCCTGGGAGTCGATTACTAAGTAAATTAGGAGGAAAGGCTGCCACAACAATTCATATGGTAGACAATGAAAATAACAAAAAAGACACAAAAGATTTTAAGAAATTGTTTGCCATATCATGACCAAATATATGAATCCAATAGTAATTTTGTAGAAACATTTACAAAAATTTTACAATTAGAGGCAGAAGGTAGGTCCGATAATATTAAGGCTAAATTTTCGAACGTCTTACCACCACCTCGTACAATAAATCATTGATATCCCCATTTTAATAAGAATACGTATAATATGCAACCACACACATCTAACGCACAAATGAAACATTCATATCCACCAACACCAAGATCAATGAATAATAGAAACACCTTTAGATCTAATGTACCATATCATCAAAAGAATCCTTTGATACCAAACGCTAATAATGTATTCAGTAAAGCTCAACACCCATATTTTAAACAAAATTACAACCAGTATAGACCGGCAGAAAATCAACAAATGGTCGATACTAATGTATCAATGAGAACTGCACCTAGATTAAGGACAGGGCAAATAAATTTAGGAAAAGGATTAGTAGCTGAAGAAGTATTCCATCACGAAGATGAGGACTATGAATATCCTCATCAATATGAATAATATCGACATGATAGGAACTTTAATAAAAGGGATCTAAAAATGAAATCTGAAAAGGATTTTCAAATGAATATAGACAAAGACAAAACTATATAGAATTTAATTATGTTAAATCATATTTACCTTACTTTGTAATAGAGGAACCATATTTAAAAATGTTAATAGACACTGGTAGTCAAAGATAATTTATAACAACAAAAGCTGCGAAATATTTTTCTAATTATTATAAGCCAGAGCATTTTATGGTAAGAACTTCACATGGAGTTACTAAGCATGGAGCTATGATAAAGATATCTCCTTATTGGAATAAATACTTTGGTGAAGGTTCTGATACTATGAAGTTTTATATATTTAATTTTAATGATAAATATGATATCTTAATGGGTACCGATATGATAGAGCAAATACATGCGAAGATAGAACATAAGATTAATTTGATAGATAATGAGCCAATTTATCAAAGACCTTTTAGTTTACCTCAAATACAACAAAGTGAATTAGATAAACAAATTGATAAATTATTAAATGAAAATATAATCCGATCATTTGAATCCCCGTGGTCATCGCCTGTACCTGTTGTACCTAAAAAGGTGGATCAATCCGGTATAAAGAAATGGCGAATGGTTATTGATTAAAGAAAATTAAATGAAAAAACGAAATCGGATAAATTTCCTTTACCTAACATAGAGGAATTGTTTTCAAAGATTCAAGGAAACAAATATTTTAGTACTTTAGACCTTACTTCAGGATATAATCAAATTTTAATGGATAGAGATTCCATAGAAAAAAACAGCACCCCTAATGGATATTACGAATGTCATTTGGTTTAAAAAACGCGCCTGCTAAATTCCAAAGAATAATGAATAATATTTTCAAAAATGAAATTTCAAGAAATATGTCGTTTATTTTTTTTTTTCTTGTATTTACGCGATTACACATTATAAATGAAACTAATTTTACGGATTTATCGCGTTTATTTTTAATTTTAATTCCCGACGTTTCGAACCCTTTACAGCGTTCATGGTCACGGGACAGACTGAGGTGTTAGACGTCTGATTGTCATAGTTAACCCGGGCTACCGTCAGTTTTTGAATTATTAATTTTGTGTCCGATCTATGCAGAGGGAGCTAATTGTATCTTGTCTTGCAGTAGTGGTTCGTTTGGGCCTAGATTTAATTTTATTGATGACAGGATCCCAAGCTGATGGTAGTACCCAACCTTCTTCTCTATTGAAATTAGGGTGTTTTTTAATTTCAATAGCCTCGCGAATCATCCTTGGGAGGAATCGGTGTTCTTTTGCAAGGATCTGTGGTTTGTCAAACCTGATGTAGTGGTTGGGCCTATTCAAAATGTGATCACAAATTAAAATTAAAAATAAACGCGATAAATCCGTAAAATTAGTTTCATTTATATGTCTAGTTTATTAAGATGACATAATAATTTAGACTAGAAAAGAACATATAAACAACATATCTTAATTATCATATAATCTATTCAAAGTGGATGTCGTGTTAAAAGAGGTTTAATTAATGAATTAGGTTCAGTAATTAAATCTATTACAGGAAATTTAGACCAAAATGATTTGGATTCTATACAAAAAGACTAAGATACTTTAAGAGTAGCATATAATAAGCAAATATCTGTAACTGATGATACTTTAGAAGAGTATAATAAACAAATTGCAAATATTACTAGGATACAGATAGAAATAAATAATCAATTTCAAAATAATTTTAATAGTAAAATGCAACAAAAGTTAGCTATATCATTGTTACTTCAAGCTCAAACGTTACAAGATATTACAGAAAGACTAGCCACAGCGATTACTTTTGCTGATCATAAAATGTATCATTATAGTATACTTCAATCACATTTGTTAGTGAATACTTTAAAGAATATACCAAAAGAAGTTAGTATTTCTGACAATATTAATGATATCGAGTCTTCAATTAAAGTAGACAGCAAAATCATTAATAAAATTGGATATTTTATAGTAAGTATACCTTTAGTAAAAAGTAAAATCTATACGACAAGAAAAATTGTTCCCACTATCCTCAACAATCCGTCCTGCTCCTCTCCTATAATGCGAAAGGTAACTCTAGCATATAACGACGAAGAAATTTATGAAGTAACTGATTGTTTGGAATTAAATGAATTAATTTGTAAAGGAGAGCTGCAAGAAATAGATACTTGTAATCAGATGTATTAAGTAATAAAGGTAGCACGAGATGTCAAACAATTAACATTAAATGTCCTGTGCAAGAAGTAGTACAAATCTCTTCAAAAGCTATTTATATGTTTTTTAATCAAACAACTGGTCTCTATAAAATGTAATAATAATCAAGGAGAAACCGTTTGGACGAAAGATTCTAAGATATTGTATGGAGACAATTGTGAATTAGAAATCTCAGGAATAAAGCTTTTTCACACAACTAAATCTAGTGATAAAGTAATTATAGCAAATATTGAGACACAAAAGATAGAATCTGTACCAGAAATAGAATTAACTTACGATACTTCAAAAATCAAGTCAAAGTTAAAACAATGAAAAGAAATCGAAAGTTTTAATGAAGATAAAAATCATCATATAATACAAAACAGTTGGATCAGTATAATAACTATAATAATAATAACAGGTGTTCTGATAAAATATCTCAGATTAAAGTTCGGTCAAAACCATGGACTTCGAATTTTGAGGGGGATAGTAAAGCCATCGTCAACCTCCAACTTAATAATTTAAAGA